AGCTGACATTACAAGAATAAAGTTTATACGACATAGTCTGCTTAGCTTATTCGTACACATCCTCACTTCTTTTCTTTGCAATATCAGCTTTTTAGTATGAAAGCTAAAGCTTTCAGAGCGCAAAAGCGCAGCTTTCAACGTGTGCTCAGAAATACAGCAAGGCGTTTTTTTTTTTCCCAACAAAGCTAGAAAAGGGGCCGGTAAGTAGGGAGAGATGAAGCTGCGAGGCAATAACTGCATCATCCATAATCTGCTTTAAAGCAGTTGCAAATGTAGATCCACGACGCCTAATACTCTCGCCATGACACGCCAAGTACCTTAGTAATCCGAAGGGGCATAGAACGGGCGTTTTCAAACAGAGTCTGCTTTTGCTCCCAAAGCACACACTCTCCCAGCATCTGAGATCCTTCGAACTCTTGAATGCTGGCCTGTATTTTTGCTTTGTTTAGATTTGAGCACACTGCACTGATTGACAAAAACGTGAACATGCTGTTCTCATCTACATTCTCATATGCAGTGAAGAAAACTCAGCACAGAGTTGAACTGTGTTGAGGTATTTCTGTATTGTAAAATGTATTTTGGCCCTGGAAAACAGTGCTGATAAGTGCTCATTGCAGGCTCTAAGTATAAAACTACAATGGCACATATTCAGAACTGGCTAATCTAAATAACTGGGTAACTCAAACGTATTCTGTATTAGCAATTGTACATAAAGAAGGCACTTATGTATGGAAACAAATCAATACTTTTTTGCTTTTGTTAAAAAGCAAACAAATGCTCAGCTTTTAGGCTGTTGAATGAATACATATGAACAAAATGTTAATGTGCATAAAACACATTGCACTAATTGCTTCACTGAAAGGAGGAAAAATATGGCAAGTACCTGAGAAACAATGAATTTTAATAGATATGTGTTCTGTTCAGGTTGCTTTTGTGTCAGAGAAATCAATTTAGCACAGTCTACCTCGTATAAACTTTCTCATTCAGCAGTCCAGAGGGATTTGCTAGTGGTTCTGTAGACTCCTAAAACAGGATTTGGATCTTGCCTTACCTCATTGCCAGCGAGGGGCTTGCACAGGGAGATATGAATGGCGACGGTTGAGGGGCAGGGGCAGGCCTAGTCTGGCTCTCTTGCCTGCTCCAGCACCCCGCCGTTCTTTTGTAGCATAGGGGTGTTTGGGGCTATGCTGGAGTGGAGGGGGGCACCAAATCATGTGCCTATATTCTTTTTTGGAATGTCTGAAGGGGAGGTGTGGAGAGCTAGAGCACGGGGGTTCTCACAGAGATTTTTTTTTTCTTTTCTGGTGCCTTGACAAGAGACAAAAAATGACAATTACATTTGCAATGCATATTTGCACAGATACTTCTGTTCAAGACTTAAAGTTGCTTTAAAGCGAGTATAATTATTCAATTCCAAAATGTATTAGTTAGTTGCTTACATCACATTAGTCACATTCTGCATCGACAAGTTCTTTTTCTGTATCTGTATCGACTGTGTTTCAATGTCATCAAGCAACAAAAACAAAACAAAAATATAAAAATGCTAAAGGACTTTCTTTGCCATTTAAATAAAACTACAAGTGAGAAATATTTAATTTTAATTAATTAAACACATTATCATACATTTCTCTTTCAGGAGCGATTTTTTAAAAAGATTTCTAACTTTACTTTTACTCCGACAATGTTTTAAGTTGTTCTCTCCTACTCATAGACCAATTATTTGAAGAAGAATCCAAAGCCCCTGTCATCCCCTGTTACAGCAGTAATCATTACTTCATTTGTCAGTTGGACATTAACAGACTTTTGATAAGTGATTAACTAGAAGGCAATCTTTAACTTTATACAGCTTTCCTACAACAGATGTGCTGCATTAGCTCCCTTACACCCTGTATGCTGAATGTCACCCAGCTAAAAACATACAGCTGTAAACTCTCCAAAAAGTTATGGAAATAGTAGGAAAGAGCGTGGCACGCTCTCTGCAGTTAACTTTAGCTTCCTATTTTGGACGCTAACTGAAATTACTGTTGCCAAGTGGAAGGCTTTTAAAATGGGGTAAACACTAATTGCTGCCCCATTTCTTTTATACCGGTTAGCTCACATCTGCGACGGCGCTTCCAGCCTTCAAGCCAAGCCAAAACCTCATTATGTTTAACACTTAACAAAGGCCTGGGAAACAGGAGCAGCAAACTCACAGAGACAGTCAGATGCAAAGAGATTATTTATTAGAAAAATTAATCAAATGGTGGCTTATTCCCTCAGTTTTGTAGACCACTTCTGCTAAATGTGCAATTGTTTGTGCCTGTTTTGCCAAACTCTTCTGTAAATCTGATTTTAAGTGCATTTAGACAAGTCGAACCCCAGTAACTATGCCCCATTCTTCCTAATAAGGGTACTTAAGAAGTTCAATCTGTCTTCATTCTCTTTTATGTTCAGCTCAGTTACTGAGTGTGAAAAAGCTTAACTCGTGTGTTGTGAAATTTAAAGACTGCATTTGTGCCATAGGAAATAAGAGTAAGAGAGAGAGAGAGAGAGAGAGAGAGGGAGAGAGAGATGGGGATGGGGGAGTGGGTGGGGTGGTCACCAACAAAGTCCAATGTTGCTATGGTAACTTGTTTATGCCTCACTGGTGCATCTTGTAAATCCAATTAGAAGAAGATTGAGGCCTTGTCTTCTTGGGCATAAATGGGCTCACAAGTGAAAACTAGGCAAATAGCTGGAGAGGTTAGGACAAAGGATGCCTAGTTCCTCTTATCTCTTTGAATTAATGGCCCCCTAAGCACCAGACAATAGATGTGAACCAACGGTTCTCCATTTGCGGCCAGTTATTCTTGCCTGATGGGATATTGCTCATATCTGTCACTTTTTTACCACATAATTTGCAGTGGGATTTTTTTTCTACAAAAGCCCAATTCCAGTTCGAAGGGATAAGAACTATGATTGCCAAAAGGCCTAATCCGTTAATGGTAATTTTCATGGAGTGTTCATTAAAATCCTGACACTTTTACGTCTTGATTTCACAAGAGAGCGCATGACAATGCAGTGTCCGAGGTGGTAGCATATTGTACATAGTCAGCTGATAATGCCACATTTGTGTTAGCCAGTATTAATCTGGGTCAATTTGAGAAAATCCTGACTGCACGCAACATCCTCACATCAGCTGGGCAAATGCAAAATGATGAGAGCACAGATTGTGCAGGCCAAACTAGGGCTGAGTGATTTGGTGAAAAATATCTAATTGTAATATTTTTTTCTGATAAGTATTGTGATTTAACTGCATGCTTTAAGCTTTAATGTAGAGTGGGTGCCAGTTCAGGGGATCTGTGTTATTAAGTTACATTTCCCCACTTGGAATTTTTAATAATGTGGGATATACGGTGTGTGTGTATATATATATATATATATATATATATATATATATATATATATATATATATGTATATAAAACTTTACATAATGTGGGATATAGGGATGGGCGATACATATTACATAACGATACAAGATCTTCACGCTATATGATATAATGCTTTATAGTATATAGTTTTTCTGAGATTTAATAAGTTGAAACAGACAAAACAGAACTCTAATAATAATAATGAGAAGAAACCTACAACTACAGTGATTTTATTCAAGGTTTACAAACTGTACTGCGCTGCATCCAATTGAACAGGTCTCATTACGCTCACTTTGTAATGAAACATTAGTCGGTGTTGTTTAAGTACTGACGATACCTACAATATCCTCAGAAAAGCACATTGTGATATAATTTATCATGATAAATTGATTTATATGATTTATCATATCGTTTATCATGATAATGATAAAATATTGTTATATATCATTATATATGTAAAATATATATTGTCCACCCCTAGTGGTATATAATTGAAATGGCAGCTCTTGAGATTTGTAAATTGGACACTTTCAAATTGCGATTTCAATATTAAGAACAATTAATCTTTTAGGGCCCCATTCCAGCTTTCTCTCACTTTCTCTCTCTCCATATATATATATATATATATATATATGTATGTATAAAAGTAAGGTTTACACTAAAACCTTCATTTCAAGAGCTTCCAAACTGTGTTGCTAATTCTTTTCCCTTATGTTTTTAACTTCCTTTCTTCTATAGCAGTGTTAACACTATTGACAATTAACTTGCACTGTTATTCCATTCCTGTGTTTTAAAAAAATCTGATTGCGTTTGTTCAGCATTTTCTTTTATTTTGTGATTAGAATACATACAAAGTAAACTGCACTGATGTCCATGCTTTAAGCCTGTCTGGGTTAATCGCTCGGGTAACTAGGACAGCGATGCTGAACCCTCTTGACATTTTAAGCTCACCAGAAGTCTACAACAATGATTCTCCATGTCTGTACCAAATCAAAACAGCTCACATCAGCTATTTTATATCAGACCGGGCTTTTGCTCTCTGTCAGATGAACAGTGCAGTTTCAAAGCACGCCCTCCCCCCTTCCTGCCCCAAATAAACCAACAAATGAGAAGCACTCTATTATTTACTCATTCGATGTTGTCAGAAATGTAAAAGGAAAGGCAAAAGGGATTAGCAAAAAGCCTAGTATATAACATTGCAAAAATAAATCCCTGAACAGAAAAGTTCTCGGTCCTCAGGTTTAAGCAAAACAGAAATAACATACTCATAACCTGGAGCTGACTGTGTTATAACAGAGAAAATTTCTGAAACATAGAAAGTGAATATGTGCTATGTTGAGTGGAATAAGTCCCTTAATACCACTACCCTGCTCACTAAAACTACAAGTTAGATGCATTAATCTACATGGCTCTTCCCTGAAAGCCTTTCCATCAAACACGAATAGATTTTTTTTTCCGATGGCATTTATGTTTCTTTCTACTCAATTCTTGCAGCAGTTTGTAACTTTATTATTTGTAAAAGTTCATTGTTGCATAAATGAGTTGCTTCTTGAAAAAGAGCTCCAACTGACACGTTGGGATTCAAAATGTCTTTTATTTTCTTTTCCAGGTTCCAAAGTGGTAAAGGTCTGGTGATATATCCTGATATCGGAGACAAGATGGATATTATCTGTCCTAAGGCAGATGCCAGCCAGCTGTATGAGTATTACAAGCTGTACCTGGTAAAGAAAGAGCAGGCGGAGTCGTGCAGCACCGTCTTGGACCCGTACGTGCTGGTTACCTGCAATAAACCTGAGAAAGACATCAAATTCACCATCAAGTTCCAGGAATTCAGCCCCAACTACATGGGACTAGAGTTTAAAAAGAACAAAGACTACTACATCACATGTAAGCCAAAGCATGAATTATTTTTTCATCACTGCATCTGTTTCGCACCTGGGAGTTTATCTCCTCATTTCTAGAGAGCCCCACATGCGGGCCGTGTCACGCTGCAATGCCGAGGTTTCTATAAGTGAAACGTTAATGTATTTTTTGAGGGGACGGGGGGATAGAATAACGCTGTACTTTGACATTTCCGTCATATATTTTTGCTCTCGGCTGCCGTGCGTTGATGAAAAATACTTTGATGCTGAAGTTGCGCATTCAGTGGGACTGGGTTTATTTTTACCCACATTGCACAGATAGTGACACACATCATCTATCTTTTACATAATGGATGTGCTTGTGCATTCATGTAAGCACAACCACGGCCTTAATGAGCTTTGGGAAGAGGGTACATAGGAAGCAGAGGCATTTTCCTAACCTATTTGTTATGAGCTCCTCTTGGAAAAAGTGGAGCATGCTGGGGGTAGAAATGCTTGTTATGTAAAGACCCACATTTCAGCTGTCTATTTCACACAGGAATCAAGGCAAAAGTCCAATTTACTAGCTTTATGACAATGCTATTTTCTTTTTCTGAGTAGTTCTAAGTTTGTTCTTAGTTTGCATTCTCTCTCTTTCCCTCTCTCTCTCTCTCTCTCTCTCTCTCTCTCTCTCTCTCTCTCTCCCATCTCTGTTTCTTTGAGCATGTGGGAAAAGTGCCACTGTCCTCCTGAATGTCATTTCCCTCTGCTTTCTCCACTTAGGGGGCAAAAAAAAAACAAAAAAGCAAATGGTGTGAGTGTGTTCAGGTTCAGGTCTCATGTACCTCTCCTCCCTCTCCTGCCCAGTATCTCTAGCAGCCTGGCACCAAAGCCCTGTATCTAAGGGGTCCATCTGCCTGTACTCTCTGCTTACTCAGGGACTCCAGGGGTCAATAGGTCCTAGTGGGGGGCTGGGCAGTGATAACCTCCTGATCTAAATTCAAGCTCTGCTGCCATTTGGTGGCGGGGAGATCAACAGCCCGGCAGCTTGGACAACAAAGGCCTGCCTGATGGCCTGAGCAGGCACCAAGGCCTGCTAAAGTCATTAAACTTATTAAAAGGCTATAATTGCTCCTTTCCTCCCCTGCTTGTTTAGGTTAGTGTTAAGGCTGGTCTCTGTCTTATGTCTCTAGACCCGTTTCATGGGAGCATTTTATGAGGGTGTGCATGTTCACTAAGGGTGTATGGTATGATGATATATAATTATTACAAAAAGTATACCATTATCACAATAAACTAAGTCACAGTATGCTTTCTTGGGCATATTGTAGAAATTATCAGAACTTTAAGAACACTGACCAACTGCATGTTTAATTAAAAAGAGATTTAGAAGAGGTGCCGTATCAAAAGATTGATTGCAACAGTAGTGTCACATTAAAAAAAATCTATCAGAAAATATAAGTATGATAATTTTATTCAAGGGTGGCACGGTGGCGCAGTGGGTAGCGCTGTCGCATCACAGCAAGAAGGGCCTGGGTTCGATTCCTGGCCGGGCGACCAGGGTCATTTCTGTGTGGAGTTTGCATGTTCTCCCTGTGTCTGCGTGGGTTTCCTCTGGGTACTCTGGTTTCCTCCCACAGTCCAAAGACATGCAGTCAGGCCAATTGGAAATGCTGAATTGCCCCTAGGTGTGAATGTGTGTGTGATTGTATATGTAGGTCTGTCTGTCTGCCCTGCGATGGACTGGTGACCTGTCCAGGGTGTATCCTGCCTTCCGCCCAATGACAGCTGGGATAGGCTTCAGCACCCCACCGCGACCCAGAAGGATAAGCAGTTTAGATGATGTATGTATGTATGTATGTATGTAATTTTATTCAACATTTTACATACTCAGTTAAACAGGACTAATTCTGCTCTCTAACATGTAACGTACAGTTGGTCAGTGTGCTTTAAGCACTGTCTATGTTCACATAAGCACAGAAAACCATATTCTGATATAGTACAATAAAATAGTATCATGTTGCCCACTCCTAATTTATAGTTTGTCTTACCCATTTTTAAAATGTGGCACAACTGTTGTGCTGTCACAGTGTGTCTATTCTAACTTCTCAAAGCGCATAGAAATTAAATATTGTGACATACAGTCGTATGCAAAAGTTTGGCCTTGGTCAGATTATGTTTTGTTGTCTTTCTAGGTATAAATAAGTAAACATCCTCTAGAGGGAGCACACTTTTGCACATGTTAATGCACAATTACCGTTTATTAGCTAAAGTTAAAATATTGGAAATAAAAATATACATTTTAAATGTAAAAACATTTAATTTTGCCTGTGCAAGAGACATGGCACATTCAATATTTCAAGTTTTATTTTTTCATTATATTGAACTAATTTTCACTTTTCCACCCCTAGTGTTAACATGAAGGCTTTTTAATCACGACATCCTCTGAGCAGACTCTCAGGCCTGGTTGTGCTGTCATCAGTTGGTCATTGATTTGCTGTAGCAGTGTGGGCAGATAACCATGATGCGCAGTGACAGCTGCCACTCCTGCTCCACCACCGGAGTACAGCCTGGCGCATTCATTTTTTTTTCATCCTCCTGTATGAAGCGTCCTCTCTTAACCAAAGGCCGCTGCTTCCTTTCCGCTAATGCATTGCGTGGGAAAAGGTTGGAGGCGAATTCTCCAAAAGAGAATCAGATAGGAGCGACAGCCTGCAAGGTCAAGGTTAAAAGCGTTGCCAGAATGGCAGATGAGAGGATCTAATGCGGTCCCAAATGAGAATGTACCTGAAGATGTGTGGATGAGAGACAGAGAGACAACAGAGCTGGTTTTGTTCCACTCAGGTGAGAGTGTGGCCTATTTGCTATAGCCTACATGCTCCTCTATTTGAGAGAAGCTAGGAATGGAGAGATATTATATGCATTTTCTCCATCAGAAGGCCAGCATTGTGTTTATCATGCTTTCTCCTTTTCTAGTGAAGATTTAATTTGCGGTGGCCGCCTGCAAAATATTTGCCTCCACAAAAACAGAGCGGGCCCTGAATTCGTTGTAATTTCTTCATTCTTCCCTGTTGCTTTTTCACCAGTCCATCCCTAAATGGCCCAGAGTGGCTTGCTCAGGAGCATGAGAGGAACCCTCACACAGATTTCATCTGGCATTCATTTACGTTGTGTCAATTAATCCCGTCTGGATATTTGAGAAGCAGCCACTCATGCCCGTCTTAGCCTTCACGCTTGTCTTATTAAAGTGCTTTGCCCAGGCACGGTCCCCTTCGTTCCCGTTAGCGTATGCTGATGACTGTCGCACCCTGAGCCTGGCTGAAGCAGAGTAATCAGCGTCATCATCCGCTCCATTCACTAGCTTTCCACATTAGTGAGCGTGCATCCTCTCTCAGCTTCATTATGGCAAGTCAAATGGCGTTGTCCCATGCATTTGTCACTTTGAGATAGCACAAAATAGACTGGAATCTAATTTTTTTTTTCTCAGACAATGACGACCATTTGTTTGCAACCTTCTTCCTTTGAGGTAGGCTGATATATATTGTACAGCATTATTTAGTGCCTTGTCATGCTGGATATGGGTAACAGAGGCTGACCGTGGCGGGCAGGATCCGGCTTTCCGCTGATTGGAGAGGACACGGAGTGGCAGGGGAAGGCCGCTGGGATATCTTCCTCTTCTGCTGTCTCTGGCTGGTGGGCTCCTCCCGTATGCCATCCAATATGCCAAGAGACATTTTAGACGCCTTTCATCAGCAGCCAAACCCTTAAGTCCAATCACAGCTTGAAACCCTCTCCAATTTGGTTGTTGCAGTGTGACAAACAGTGCTTTGTCCTTGCCATGGTTTGACTTTTCCAGGGATGCATTCTGCAGAACGCTGGCCAAAACAACAAAAAAACAACAAAGCGACCTTTAACCAAACACATAAAGGAAAAAATTTGTTCTGATTGGTGTTCTGAAGTGGACTATCTGTAAGCATTGTCCATAATTTACCGTTTTTCCTATGGGTGGAAAAAAGGTGGTCATGATCCGAACCGAAAGAGGAAAATCTCGCCATGTTGGCGTGAAGATGGGTGCTGGACGTTGGGACGTCAATTCAGATGATGATAGGGAATTTTTCTAGCGGTTAAGCTCTCAGGCCTTTGATTAAACAGCAGACGTATGAAGTAATGAAAAAACAAACATGAATCTCGGGGCTGTGATGGAAATAATTGTGGTTGTCCAACATATAAATAAGGGTATAAATACTCGGCTGTTGGCAAAAACCAAATGCGTTTCTGTGAATTCAGCTGAAATGCGAAATGGCCCGTGTTCCATTCCAGCCCAACCACAAACAGCCTTCTTCACATACGAGGCTTCTCATTTTTCAGCTTGCGTAATGGAGGCTAGGGAACGTGGATTGTTAATGCCCCTATACCAGAGACACAATTAGACTAAGGCGGCCTCAGTCAACATCATTGTGTGAGTGACTTGGTGTAAAATGATTGATGACACAAGACAAAACAGACTGTGCCTGAAGCTAGCATCTCCTGCAATCTCTGCTGCTTTGATGGCGACACTGTGACATGTCAGTATGGCTCTTCTCTACAGAAGCTGAATTGCCCTCTCTAATTTGTCTTTTCTTCATTTATGATTTCGCTGTTTTTTCCCACAAAATATAATTGTCCTCTTTTCCCTTTTGCTTTGGAAATCATGTGCTTTTTCCCTTAGCACACTGCAGTACTGCTTAAGGAGTGAAGGCTATCCATCTGCTCTGTATCTTTTTGATCCATTATTTTCATACTAAGTGAGAACGTAACATATTTAAGACTATTAGACTATAGTATGACCATTACATTGGTTATTATTTTTATTATGTTTCATGTACAGCTCACTAATACATTTTTTTCATATGTAATCTGACTGAAATGCTGGTTGTGGCAATCTTTTCGAATAATTTATTGGAACTCTTATTGGTTTTGATGGAGTGCATGTTGTCTGGCTGTAATTGAGGCTTTCTCAGTGTAGCAGTTCTCACCATATTTTCTTCCACCTTTTGGGTTTGTCTT